AGTTAAATTCAACCTAGTCTTTGTCCCCTAGGATTTCCAGATTAGTAGCATTTCTGTTCCTTTGCAATCTCTGGCTTTTGAGGGCCACACTGGCTGCCCTTTATTTTGGGACCTGCCTAGGGCCTGTGAATATGCATGGTGTGGTGGGGGTGGGGCTAAGGGATGGCGGGGAGGGCAAGGGCAGTCTCTACCCACCCAATACCTCTTGTACAGGTTCTTTGCAGTTCCCGTCATGGCCCTAATTGCCAATTTTGGGATCCCCAAGTGGGCCCGGGAGAAGATTGTCAATGGCATTCAGTTGGGAATCCACCTGTATGCCCATGGAGTGTTCCTGGTAAGGATGGGCCTCCAGGGAGGGATGGGAAACTGAAGGGCAGAGGATGGGTGAGGCTTCCACCCCTGATCTGCCTGAATGTCTGAGCTCTGGACCCATCTCCCCTTTAGTCATTTGCCCTTTAGTCATTGAGGAGACTCCTCAACTGATAGCCTGCTGGGTAGTCTACTGTGTCCTCTAGAGTCTACCCTCTTCTACTATTCCTCTCTGCCATCTTGTGTCCTGCCTTCTCCCCCACATCTTTATTTTCATTCCTGATCCTGTCCCTGGTCTCTCACATTTTCCTTTGTGTCCCTTCTGCCCTTCTGAAGCCCCTACCCCATCCTTCCCCCAAAAATTCTCATCACAAGCTATTGTTCAGGAAGAAGTAGCTGGGAAGGGACAGGATGGTGCTTCTGGGGCCCTAGATCTGAATGGTGTTGTTTAGACAGAGGCATCAGGGGTTCCCAGCACCACATCTATTTTTTGTCTTGGTTCATATCCTGTCTGACCTTCTTGACAACGGTTCTCATATTCATTCATTTATCCATCCATCAACTGTTCGCTGGACACCTGTCTTGAAGCAGCCTATTTCTTGCCAGGGACATCCATGTTCGTTTATTCTTACTCTCCAATTGTCAGAGCAACCTCAGGAGAGGACAGATAACAGTCATTGTACCCACTATACAGAGAGGGAAAGTTAAGGCACAGAGAAAGAAGATGACCTCCAGGGCTCCATGGCCTTTAACAGCAGGGCAGGCACTTCAAACCCTGTCCTCTGGCAGACCACAAAGTCTCATATAGGGGAATCCCAAAAGGAAAATAGGCATCACTGAGGGCCCCAATTCCTGAGGGACTCACAATATGTGCATGGAGGGAAGTACTCAGCTTGAAACTCTGTAGGAATTCAGAAAGAGATAAAGAGAAGAAATGATGCCAGAAGCAGTGGTACATGTTCATTAATCCAGCTGCTCTGGAGGCTGAGATAGGAAGATTGTAAGTTCAAGGCCGACTTGGGTAATTTATCCAGGCCTTGTCTCAAAACAAAACAAGAGGAAGGAGGAGGGTTGGGGACATAGTTCAGTAGTAGAGTGTTTGCCCAGCATGCACCAAGGCCCTGGATTTGGATCTCTAACACCACAAAAAAAAAAAAAAAAAAAAGAAAGAAAGAAAAAGAAATTCTGAGAACCCACCATGTGCCAGGCTCCGCACCAGTGGTTTTCATTTCCACTCTCTCATCTTTCCAAATAGGCACTATAATCCCTCTTGGCTGGTGAGGCTCAGAGTTTAATCATTGTGTCCCAGATCCCATACAGAGAGCGATGGAGCAGAGATGTAAAGCAGGCTCAGACTGCCAGATGCAGTGCCCTTACTATCATTTCACCTTCAGCCAGCTTCCTTCCTAACATGCTCAGCAGGCATCCAACTGCTCACTGGCTTCAGCTCCTTGCTAACGCATTCAACACAACTTAAGAAGGGTTGTGCTGTGTTTCTGGGGTGTGGTGCAGTCCCTGGCTTCATGGTCTGCAGGACTATAGGGAGACATCCAGGCACTGCTCTGGAAGGTTCTGGGGATTCAATAGGGAACAGAAGAATCAAGTTCCAGCCTCCATGGAGCTAACATTCTAGAGTGCATTAACTGCTATTTAATTGAACTTTGGGTTTTATGGAAATATTCTGTTATCTGTGCTCTCCATTATGGTGGCTTAGAAGCACTTGAATATGGGTACAGTAGTGCCGTGTGAATGAAACTTTATTTTGATGAAGCCACATGTGGCTAGAAGCTATCAACTTGGACCACACAGGAGAAGAACCTTAACAAGTGACAGCCCAGGGCTCTGAAGAAGGAAGCACAAGCAGAGTAATAAAAGATGTTTAGAGGGGAAAGGTCAGAATCTCGGGCTCCATGGGAGCCCAGAGGTGACAGCTAATCCAGTCTGGACATTCGCAGGAAAGTGTGGGGGATGTCACCTGGAGGGAAATCTTTAGAACCCCCAAGTTTATGGAAACATCCCGGGCCCTGGATAGTGATCTCCAACCTGTCTTGCCTCTCGCCCCAGATCATGACTCGCCCATCTGCGGCCAACAAGAACTTCCCGTACCACGTCCGCACATCGCAGATCGCCTCCGCAGGGGCTCCGGGCACCGGAGGGAGCCAATCCACAGACAAGGCCTTTCCGCAGCACGTCTATGGGAATGTGACCTTCATTAGCGACTCGGTGCCCAACTTCACGGAGCTCTTCTCCATCCCCCCGCCCACCTCCTCCGTAAGCCCTGCGACCCCGGCGCCCGAGGAGCTGCTGGCGCCGCCCCTGGAGTACCTGACCCCTCTCCCAGCCCCGCCGCCGCCCCCGCCCCCAGTGCCCGGGCGCCTGAGCCCGCCCCCTGCCTTTCGCACGCCCCGCGCCCCAACGCCGCGCCGCGACCGTCCCCTGGCGCCCGCGCCCACCCTTCCGGACTGGGTCCTGGCGCTACTGCGCACGCCCCCTCAAACGCCACGCGCGGTGCCCCCACCGCCCGCCTTCCGCGGCTCTCCCCCAGCTCCCAGGCCGCCGCCGGAGTTTGTCCGGCGCACCCCAACGCCTCCCCTTGAGTACCTGGCTCCGCTGCCCAGGCGTCCCGCTACCCACTCCTTCCCTGACGGACACGTGCGTCCATCCTTGGGGTAGTTGGGTCTTCTTGGGGAGGGGGACGGGCCTTCGGGGCCGTATCTGCCCCCTGAGGGTTCCGAACGGCCTCTGACCCTGACCCCCCTCCCAGGCCGGGAAGCAGGTGGAGGAGACAGCGGTAGCGGCGGCAGTGGCCCCGAGGGGCCGTGTGGTGACCACGGCCGAGCCGGGCGCAGCCTCCCCGCCCCCTCCCGCTCGGTTCCCCAAGGCGGCCGACCCGGGCTGGGATGGCCCGACGCCGCCTTACCAGCCGCTCGTGCCCCAGACGGCGGCGCCACACACCGGCTTCACCGAATACTTCAGCATGCACACGGCCGGGGGCTCCGTACCCCCGGTCTGAGCACCCCTGGTCGCCCCTGTCCCATGGGCCGCGCACCGGGCCCCGGCTGGGCTCCGGACCCCCAGCTCTGTCCCTTCCCCAGGGCTTGGCCAACCCTCCCAATTCTCCCCACCCCGCGTACCCAGGTTGGGTGCGCTGCGTCCCCCCCTTCCCCTTTGTGCCAAACGGTCCCGCGGGAGCCGCTCTCCCCGTCCCCTCCCTCAGCCCCTGCCCCGAACGGCGCCGGATTCTGGGCTCCCGCTGTTCCGTGATCTACGACCCCCCGATCCCCTCCGAGACCTCTGACCCCGTCGGACTCCGGCACACCCACGACGACCGCCGGGACCCAGCTCGTGACTCCAGGATTCCGCGACCCCGAGGACGGATATTGTGAAGCTGGTCTGACTCAAACCCTCCCTCGGATCTGTGACCTCGGACCCGTGCTCTCTGCCCCTATCAGCATTCGGGGGCCTTCCCTCGGTCCCTTGCACAAAGACTCCCCCGCCCCTTGCCAAAATAAAAGAGAATTCGTTTTTTTTTTATAACGTGGCTTCTTTTACATCTTGATGGTGCTGAGCGGCAGGGTTGAGCAAGAACCGTTTCAGGTTCGGGATTACAGTGTGTCTATCTGTGAAATGACATTTTGGGACCCAAGGCAAGGGGTTACATAATCTGAACTTCGTGTTGACTCGGAATCTGGGAGCACAGAAGATTTCAATCATCTGGCAGAGCCCTGTATTGCACTGCTCCTTTATTTTTACCTTCTTTTCCAATCGGATATCGAGGCGCCCTCCAGTGGCAAAAGTGTTGCTTAGCTACTGCTTTGCTCTCCCAGATTTTGTGGTATGCTCTTGCCGCTGCGCATGCGTGATTCTCTTGCTCCGCCAGCCAAAGAGGTCGCTGATGCGCATGCGGTCGAGTACAGATGGGCGGGGAGATCTCCGGAAGTCCCTCTTGGCGGAGGGGTGGGGTTGGATCCTCTGTAGTCCTCCCAGGGCCGCTCTGACCAGCCGGTCTTCAACTTCTCGCCTTCCCTTGGCGGGTTCTCCCAGAGCGGCCTCTTGGTTCCCGCCCCCACGCCCTCCCGGCGGGTCTTTCCCGGGCCTCTCTGGCCCGACCATCCCCTAGTCTCTCTGGTCTGGCCTATCCGGCTCGGGAGGGAGGCGCGGGAGGGTGAGAGCTAAGTGAGTGCGCCTATGGAATCCGGGCCCGAGCCGTGAAGACAGGCTCCGCCCCTGGCACCCGCTCGCGCCCCGCCCCCACCTGGAGGGGTCTCCCTGGGACCTACCTACCTGGCGGGTCCCGGCCTGCACCCTTTATGGAGCCCCTGCCGGGCCTTAGAACCCTTGGACCCTGGGGACCTTCCCGTCTATAAGGTCTGTTTTGGCCTGCAGCGGCCTGAGTCTAACCCCTGGACATTATTTATGGGGTCGGCCCCCCTATGGGGGCCCGTGTCTTTCAGGGACCCTTTCGGTCCCTAAGCGTCGACCCCATCCAAAACGACCCTGTTTACAGGGCCTTCCATGGGTGTATAGAGCCCGCTCTTCGGCTTCCAGAGCCCATCAACAGCGGCTGTTCCCTTCACGGGGACTGCGTCTGCTGGACCTCCCCGGTCTACAAGGCCATGCTACCCCTATAGAGGTCGCATTTGCAGGGACTCACCCCAGTAGAGGGTCCTCTCCGGGTCTTTAAGGCCCTTCCGGTCTCCAAGGAGTCAGTGCCGGAGGTGGCGATGGCCTTGGGCCAGGCTCTGGGCGCGGTACTGGCCCTGGCCTTGGCTATGCTGGGGCCGCTGTCCCCTGGGGCCCTGGCGGGGGACTGCAAAGGGCAGCGGCAGGTGCTACGGGAGGCACCTGGCTTCGTGACGGATGGTGCGGGCAACTACAGCGTCAATGGCAACTGCGAATGGCTTATCGAGGGTGAGTGGGGCCGCGTGGGTCACTCACTCATTCGCTAGTCCATTCATTTGTGCATCCATCCACCCAGCACATTGCCAGAGCCCTGTTCTGGTCCAGAGCGGTTACTCTAAAATGCAGGACACCCAGTGTTGTAATCTGAGCCCCATTCTGGAGGTCTGAAAGTCTGGTGGGAGAGGTGTGTGCAGACCAACCGAGAGCATCAGTGAGGGATATTCTGAGTAATTGCTGAACACTAAGGCTCTCGGTTCAGTCACTTGGTTTAGAATTTAGGCTATATATGGTCTGTGACTTTCAGCAGTTGACTTACTTTCTCTGAGGTTTGACTTCTCTTACCCCAAATGAGGATGACAATTGTAGTCACCTCCTAAGGATGTTAGAATTAAATGAAACCAGGTATTTAACATACCCGATGCCTGATTCATAATAAATGTTTAATAAATGATATTAGGATTATTATTGTTATGTTTAAATTATTTCAGCAAATGCATTTGTTTTTAGTCATTCGTGTGCTACACATATTTGCCACCAGAACATAACAGAAGTGACTTAGGGCTTGGAATCTAGTAGGGGAGACAAATACAGCTCAGAGTGGTCTGTGATGGTGAAACCCTAGGGCCTGGGAGAGCAGAGAGGCTTCCTGGAGGAGATGTCAAAGCTGAGATCTAAGTGACCAATGGGAATCAGCCAGGAATGGGAAGAAGAGCATTCCAGAAACAGGGAAAGGTCTGTACAAAGACCTCAACCCTACTCTTATGGGCTCCCAGAGAATAGGGGGCAGGGCAAAGCTATTCCTGGGGAGTGGGAAGCCCAGAGAAGACATCTGACTTAACCTGGGGATTGGCTGAGACCAGTGACATGGGTAAGAAGTGGAAAAAAACATTCTTGGCAAGGAAAGCAGCCTGCAAAGGCCTGGAAGTGGGAGAGTGTGATGCTTTTGAGCAACTTGGATATATTGAAACAGAGTGTCAGATAGCAACCATCAAACCAGAGTTTGGGGGGTTGGGAGAAACTAGAGGGTATAGGACTTTGTGATTTTGAACTGTATCCTGAAGGCAATATGGAGGGAGAAGAGAAGTCCAAAGACAGTGTCTAGAAAATCCCAGGAAGTCCTCACAGGGCAGTAGGTTTGGCAGTAGGCTACAAGGAGAGGTAGGAGACCCTGGGCAAAGGCCAGAGGGATAGCAGAGCCTGAGTCATGTAGGACTTTCCTTGGTTGGTAGACTGTGGAGCTTGTTATTTTTTTAATCTTGGGGACACTGAGGAGCTTCAGAAAGGTTTTGATAAGTAAGAGGAAGGGCATGATTTATGTTTTAGAAGACCTCTTTGCTTTGTGGGGTATAGATGAAGTCATGTGTCTTGGGGGAGGCATGTCTGCCTGACCCAGTATGGGAGCCATTTCTGTCAGACTGTAGGATGAGAACAGCATGAGTGTGGTGGTGGTGGGGGGAAATCACTCTCTGACCCTGAAGATTCAACAAACATGTTGGCAATGGTGGGGCTAGGTATGACATGAGGCCCCCAATGTGCCACTGTGGCTGAATGTGCTTAGGGGAAGGTGAAGAATCTGCTAGAAATCATAGAGGAGGAGCTTCTGAAACAGGGTTCTGAAGTACACATAGGAGTTTACAGAGTTGGAAATGGGAACAGCCTCTATGCAGACATGAGTGAGGCAGGTATCTCTCAGGATCCTTCTGGGTTTGTCTGGTCTGGCTGCACTGTAGACTGGGACTTGAGGAGGGAGCCCAGAGCTGGGGAAGATGGGCCTTGAATGTCACGCTGAGCAGCTTGACCTTTCTCTTGGGATTGCTAGGGAGCCACTGAAAGATTTTGGGCATGGCTCTCAGGCTGGGTGGGGATGGACTTGGTATGCTGATCTATAGGAGAGAGTGAGTTTTGAATTAGGCAGGGGCTGGGGCATGGTCATGGTCATGAGGTGTGGAGATTGCAGGGAGATGTTTGTGGAGTTTCACCAATGACACTTGGGGACCAACTATGGGGATCTTGGGGTGAAGGAAATATCTGGGAGGCCTCTAGACCTCTCTTGATCTTCCATCCTCCCGAGCCTTGTCACCTCTGAGAACCAGTATCTCCCTCTATATTTGAAAAATTAGCAACCAGTCCACTTTTATGCCAAGTTCACAGTTTTATCTAGTCCCAGCCCTCAGGAGTAAGAGAATCCTGCTTTGGAGCAGGGGTGGGGGTGGGGGTGGCAGGGATGGTGATTTGGGATCAGATTTCTGTCAGGAATCGTGTGGATTGGGTGGAAACAGGAGACCTTGAACTTAGGGAGGAACTTGGGTAAGGCAGATGGTGAGCTGGCCTCTAGCAGGCACTTGACAAAGATGTTCTTGTGAATACAGGAACAGAGCTGTGTAGTTTGGTTGAGGCTAGTGAGATTCTGGGAGGTCTGGTTGCCTGGTCCAGCTGAATGGGTTTTCTGCCTTCCCCAGGCCACGGGTGGGGATCTTTATGTGGTGTTCCCCGGGGGCTGTGGTCAGAGCCTGAGAGCTGCCAGCTTCAGAAGTCTTCCTTTTGTGCATTTCTTCATTCCAGCATTTGCTGAGCCCTTGCTCAGTGCCAGGCCTGTTGGGCAGTGCTGGGAATGGAATGAGGCCCAGGCCCAGGTCCTGCTCTGTGGGCCTCCTAGGCTGCAGGGGAAGTAGACCTGACCCAGAGGAATGAAGGTTGTAGTGAGACATGAGAACCCTGAAGGGGGATTCCTAACCCAGCTAGGGGCCATCAGGGAAGGCTTCCTGGGTGGGGAGGGGAAGCTTGCTACTAAGAGAAGGATGTACTCCAGGCAGAGCTTGCACAAAGGCCCTGTTCCATAGAGCTGTGAGCATTGGGGTGATGTGACAAGACTGGCCTCCAAACACCAAGTTAGGGAGCTGGATTTTCTCCCAGGGTGGTGAGGAACCACACAGGACTTTTGAGTAGAGGAAGGACAGGGCCAAATGTCAAGTTGGAAAGACCCATTTTAGAGCAAGACTGGAGGCCAGGCCTGGAAGGAATCTGAATCAGTGGTCCTGGTGAGAGAGGACAAGGATGAGGGCAGGGCAGTGCATATTACTGAGCACCCTGGCTCTGGGATGGCAGGTTAGAGTTATCATCTTCCTGAATGTTCACATTAGCCATGGTAGATGAGGAGAATTATTCCTGTTTTACAGTTATAGGCTCAGAGAGCCCATGGAACTGGTTCATAAACAGTCAGAGGGAGTGGTAAATCTGTAGGATCCAGATGGGAGTGCTGAGTGGTTGTGGGTGAAGGGCTTTCCCTGGGTCCTCCAGCAGGTCAGAGTCAGAGCTGGAACCCAGCTTCTACTTTCCTCAGCATGAAGGACTCCTCTGAGCTGCCTGCAGTGTCTCTTAGGGACACCTAGTGTGGGATGTGGAATGAAAGTCTTCTGGAGCCAGGACCTGGCTGAGAGCAAGAATAGGACAGTATTAAGCTCTTGCTGTGATAAGCTAGACTCCATCATAAGCACTTTATGGGCATTATTGTCTCTCACACAGTCATTCAGATGTCAGCTGGGGCTGTAGTCACCTGAATGCTGGGCTGGATGTCCAAGGAGGTCCCTCCCAGGGTTGGCTGCTGATTTGATTCTGGCTGTCAGTTGAAAGCTCAGCTGGGGATATTGGCTGGAACACATAGTGTAGACTATCCACGTGGCTTTGGCTTTCTGTAGCATGGTGCTGCGTTCTGAGAGCAGTCCACGAAGCCTAGGTAAAATATGCAACCTTTTTACTTCCTAGCATCAGAAGTTCCAGAATGTTTTGCGACTTTTTTTTGGTCAAGCCAGGCATCAAAGGCTTTTCAGCTAGATGGGGTAGGGAATCAGCACTACTTTTTTTTTTTTTTTTTTTTTGGTAGCAGGGATTGAACTCAGGGGTGCTTAACCACTGAGTCACATCCCCAGTGTTTTTTTAAATATTTTTATTTAGAGACAGGATCACTGAGTTGCTTAGGGCCTTGCTAAGATGCTAAGGCTGGCTTTGAACTCACAGTTCTCCTGCCTCAGTCTCCTAAGTCTCTGGGATTACAGGCCTCGCCACCATGCCTGGTAGCACTCACCTTTAAATGTGAGAAATGGCCAAAAAATTTGTTTGTTCTGTGATGCTGGGGATGGAACCAGAGCCTTATGCACCTTGGGCTAGTGCTCTACCACTGAGCTATATCCCCAGCCTTGGCCTAAAAAGCTATAGGTCCACAATACACTGCAGTATCATTATATACCCAGAGCCAGGGAAGGTAGGTGACTTGTCCAAAGGCATGTAGCTATTAGCTCTTCAGTGGCAGAGTCAGGATTCAAGCCCAGGCAGATCAGTTTGTGTCTGTAACCACAGCAGTAAACAGAGATATGAAACTCTGGGTAGAGGCAGAGAACTGTGACACTCCAGGATTATACCTTTGTTCAGGTGGAGTAGACAGGTCTTCCCTTAGAGTTTTTCCAGCTTGGCACAGGGCAAGTCTCATGTCTGCTAGGGGTTGGGTCCTGACCCTCAGCCTAGCCTGTCTGAAGCTCATGCAGACAGGACATGTGCAATATCAGGGACACTTCTGCTCTCTGACCACTGGGCTGGGTTTTCTTCTGCACATTAGTTTCCCCATCTGACTAGCGAGGAGATGTTCAGCCTGATTGCAGGACTGACACTGTGATTCCTTCTCTAGACTCCTGTCCTTCTGGCTATCACAGATCTGACCTCCTTGAGCTATAAGACTGGGAGTCCTTTCAAGGTGGGGTCTAAGCCTGACTCACCCATGAGCCCCACATTATTCAGAGCAGAGTTTGGAGTCTGTGGGTGGGTTGTGTGGAGGGGTGGGGAGAAGGTCCACATGAGAACCTGGTCCCTCTGCTCACCTCCCAGCTCCAAGCCCCCAGCACCGGATCCTACTGGACTTCCTTTTCCTGGACACAGAATGCACATATGACTACCTGTTTGTGTATGACGGTGACTCTCCCAGAGGCCCGCTGCTTGCAAGTCTGAGTGGGAGCACCCGGCCTCCACCCATTGAGGCTTCCTCGGGCAAGGTTAGTGGAGATGTGCTGCATGGCTGAAGCTGGAGGATCTAGTGGGACCTGGGGGAGAGAGGAATACAGAGGGAAACGAGACCACGAGGAACAGAGAGGCAACCAGAGGACATCAGAGAGAAAGACACGGGCAAAGTAGGTGGAAAGAGACAGAGAAAGGCAGAGAGGTCGTGGGTCCCCTGTGGGCGGGTCATCCTCCTCGTCTAGTCTCCAGAGCCTACCTGCTATGCCCAGTCCCCTTGTACCCGCAGATGCTGCTGCACCTCTTCAGTGATGCCAACTACAACCTGCTGGGCTTTAATGCCTCCTTCCGTTTCTCCCTGTGCCCGGGGGGCTGTCAGAACCATGGGCAGTGCCAGCCCTCTGGAGTGTGTGTCTGCGAGCCAGGCTGGGGGGGCCCTGACTGCAGCCTGCAGGAGTGTTCAGCCTACTGTGGCAGCCATGGTACTTGTGCCTCGGTGAGCTGTCCCCAGTCGTGTCCACCTAAGGTCCTAATCTGTGAAACCACTCCCAGCTCTGAGATGGGATCTTGCTCCTGCCTGAAGCTCCCCAGGCTCTAGACACCCACTCTACTCTCCTTCCAGATGCCACCCAACCTTGACTCTAGCCCTGCTCTATGCCCACCCTCAGGCCTCACCTCCCACTCCATCCTCCCCCACACCCCCCCTCACCTGGGAGCACTGTCCTCTTTCCTCCCTCCTGTTCTGTGTGGCATTGGGTTCCCTGTCATGTCTTCTGTCCTTTTACCCGTGACCTTGGCCCTGAGCCCTTGGCAACTAGATTGTGCCTTGGGCTGAGCATTGACCTCCATGCTGTCCTCCTGCCTGTCTTCCTACATGTCCTCTTTGTCTTCTTGCCCGTCCCCTTGTGGGCCCCTCCCTTTTTCTGCTGATCTTTGCTACTTCTCTGCCTTTTCTGATTGTGTATCTGTGTGCCCTGTTTCTCTCCCTTTGTGTCTTTGCCCATCTCTTCCTTCCTGTCTTTTTTTGCCCGTCACTTCCATTCTTTCCCTTCCTGTCTGTCTCTCTCCTTCTCCCTTTCTGTCCCCCCATCTCTCTCCGCTTGTTTCTCTCTGTGTAAATCTTCTCTCCGCTCTGTCTCTTTCTCTTCTTGCCTTTATGTCTCCTTTTCCTCAGCCCCTGGGACCATGCCGTTGTGAGCCTGGCTTTCTGGGACGTGCCTGTGATCTGCACCTGTGGGAGAACCAGGGGGCTGGCTGGTGGCACAACGTGAGTGCTGGGGACCCTGCCTTCTCTGCCCGTATTGGGGCAGCTGGTGCCTTCCTGTCCCCACCAGGGCTGCTGGCTGTTTTTGGAGGTGAGTTAATGGGTTGTCCGAGTGGGGTCTGGAGGCCTGGCAGCCTGTGACCAGGGCTTAAGACCGTCAACCCCTCTACAGGCCAAGACCTCAACAAGGCCCTGGGTGACCTCGTCCTGTACAACTTCTCTGCCAACTCCTGGGAGTGCTGGGACCTGAGTCCTGCCCCGGTATGGCCCCTCCCCTGTCTTGGCTGGAGGAGCCTGTCCACCTGTCAGACCCAGCCAGGGCTCCCTGCAATGACCCCATTACCCCGCATGCCCCTTACCCCCACAATTTTACATAGGAACCCGCTTCTGCCTTTGTCTGTCTCATTTTCTGTTTCTGGCTTATCTTTATTTTCTTGCTAGGAATTGAACCCAGGCCTTGCCCGTGCTGGGCAAGCACTCTACCAGGAGTGCTGTTTGTCTCCTTGCTTCCTCCCTCTCTTACTGCGTTTCTTTGTCTCACCTTCTCTGTTTGTATTCTCTGTCTTTCTATGTCTGTCTCTCCTTTCCCTCTCTGCATATCCCTGTCTTTCTCTTTCTGTCTCTGTCTCACCATCTGTCTGTCTTTCCCTGTCTCTACATTTATGTCTGTGTCTGGCTCTGGCTCTCTGTGTCACCATCTGTTTCCCTCTCCATCTCTGTCTCCTTGTCTCTTCCCACAGGCTGCCCGTCACTCCCACGTGGCCGTGGCCTGGGCTGGCTCCCTGGTGCTGATGGGTGGTGAGCTGGCTGATGGCTCGCTTACCAATGATGTGTGGGCCTTCAGTCCTCTGGGTGGGGGCCGCTGGGAGCTCTTGGCGCAACCTTCCTCCAGCTCCTCTGCGCCCCCAGGCCTGGCAGGCCATGCAGCTGCCCTGGTGGATGACATCTGGCTCTATGTGTCTGGTGGCCGCACCCAGCACGACCTCTTCTCCTCTGGCCTCTTCCGTTTCCGCCTTGACAGTACCAGTGGGGGCTATTGGGAGCAGGTGATCCCAGCAGGTGGGCGGCCCCCTGCCGCCACTGGCCACTCCATGGTGTTCCATGCTCCCTCCCGTGCCCTGTTGGTTCATGGTGGACACCGGCCCTCCACTGCCCGGTGAGTGACCTGCCTCTGGACTTCTGGAACTTTAGCCTAACAGATCCCTATGTTAATTTATCTCTCCTTCACTCATTCATTTATTACTCATTCGTTTCCTTACTCTCATACCTTCTCTGATCTTTTATTCAATCTCTTAGTTACTTTCTCCCCCATAGAAACTCATTTATCCATTCATTAAGGCCCTACTTAGTGTCCAGCCTTTGCCAGATTACATAGGTAATTCGAGATGAGCTAGACCTGGGTCCTGCCCACAGAGAGCACCGAGTGGCCAGTCTCCATCCTGGGTGTTCAGAGAGCTCTTAAGAGCCCAGAGGAGGGAGAGAGGCCCTTCCTGCCTGAACCCTGCTTGCCTATCCCCTATAGGTTTTCTGTGCGGGTCAACTCCACTGAGCTCTTCCATGTGGATCGTCGGGTGTGGACAACTCTAAAGGGTCGGGATGGGCTTCAGGGCCCACGGGAGCGAGCCTTCCACACAGCCAGTGTCCTGGGCAACTACATGGTGGTCTATGGTGAGGAGGCTCCCCAGTCCTGCTTGCCTTCCAGGGGCCTGAACCAACCCTTAACTGAGGCTCCCTGCATGGATGTCCCCACCTCCCCCAGGCTTGCCAGCTGTGCCCCTTTCCTCCTTTCCCAGGGGGCAACGTGCATACCCATTACCAGGAGGAAAAATGTTATGAAGACGGCATCTTCTTTTACCACCTTGGCTGCCATCAGTGGGTGTCAGGGGCTGAACTTGCCCCCCCAGGAACCCCTGAGGGTGAGTGGCCTCTCTCCTTCCCTGAGGGCTCCTGAGAGTCCCGTCCTCCCACCTCCTCACAGTGAATCTGTAACTTGAACTATCGAGGTCCTTGTTGGATGACATCCTACTGGAGCTGGCCTTAGAAGGCAGGCCTGGGCTGGAGACAGGACTAGGGTATCGTTACCATGGAGATGGGAGCATCAGTCAGCAGCATCGGACCTAGGTTTCAATTCAGGGCTTGCCATTTTTCCCACTTCCCCAGGGAACTGCCCAGGAAGCAGTAACTTCTAGGCCACAGTGGACGAGTGGAAGAACGAAGATGGCTGGCTTCAACAGCCACCTGCACACAAACTGTCATTTAATCTCTGTGCCTCACTCTCCTGTCTATGAAATGGGGATTATGAGAATGTTAAACTGTTAGACGGATGTGAGAGCAAATTGAGATGGTGCATGAATTATGAAGAATGCCGTGAAGGGCTCAACATGTTTGTTTGTTTGTTCTTTCTTAATTACTTTTTTCGTTTCCTCTTTATTTTTCCTGATACTTTGTTTTTCTGATAGCAATGAGGGACCTGCTGTAGGACATAGGGCTCACTAGGGAGGGGGTGTGGAGCACCCTTCCAAAATCATTAGATCTCTGTTTTGAGATTGGGAAGAAAGCCACAAGCTCTCTCCTCAGAAGATGCTAAATACACAGACTGGGAATATCATTTCAGGAAACTCTGGACTCCCAGGGCCCATCTGTCCTCCCCTCCCTACTGAAAAGGAGACCAACGACAGAGGACTGAGGCATGAGGAAGAACATAATACTTAGGGGCCAGGAAGGAGGAAGGGTCAGAAGGGAACCCTGTGTGACCATCAGGAGTAAAGCTCAGGCCTGGTGTTCAAGGCCCTTAGTGTGCCAGGGCTCTTCTGCCTGTCCCTGTTCTTCCCTTCAGCCCCTTTACTTGGAGGATCAGAATGTGAAGTTTCTGGAAGCCTCTTCCTTTTTCGAATTAGCAATTCCCTGGGCAAATTCCCATGTGTTTACAGATCACATGGATCAGAGGAGGGTGCAGAGTCACCATTCACTGACCAGTTACCTTTCTGTCAGGACTCTTGGTTTTAAGTGACAGAAACCTGACCCAAGGGTATAAGCAGAAAAGAGAATGTTTTGGCTCACTTGGGTCACAACTCAAGGCTGGGCTGGAGTTAGGTGTTCACATCACAGTGTCTGCCATTCTTCCTCCATTTCTCAGATGGGTTCACCTCAGTCTTTAGCTGTTTGCTGTTTATAGATGGCTGCTAATAGCTCTTGGATTTTATTCTACTCCCTTAAAATTCCTAGAGAATTTTTTTTTTCCCAAGAATTGTTGGAACTGAGTCCTGTACCCATCCTTGAACTGGTTTCTGAGACGTGAGGCCTGGGCTAAGACACTACTTTTGCCAGAGGCAGGGATAGTGCCACTCAAGTCTCTAGAATTAGGAATGGGAAAGGGTTATTTTCCAGAAGAAAATGGGGCTGTCACAAGAGGGGAGGCTGGTGCTGATAGACCTGGGTAGCTCTCCTTTACTCCCCATTTCCCAAAAGTGGGTTGGTGGTGCCATTTATAGAGGAAAAAACCGACTCAGAGAAGTCGAGTCTCCTTCCTAAGGCCACACAGCTTGTAGTTGAACCATGATTTGAATCCAAGTAAGTAATAGATTCAGGATTTGAATGCAACGCTTTTTTTTTTTTAAATTTATTTATTTATTTTTAGTTCTCGGCAGATACAACATCTTTGTTTGTATGTGGTGCTGAGGATCGAACCCGGGCCGCACGCATGCCAGGCGAGCGCGCTACCGCTTGAGCCACATCCCCAGCCCTTGAATGCAACTCTTTCTGACCTCAAAAATCATGTTCTTGGGCTGGGGATGTGGCTCAAGCGGTAGCGCGCTCGCCTGGCATGCGTGCGGCCCGGGTTCGATCCTCAGCACCACATACCAACAAAGATGTTGTGTCCGCCGAGAACTAAAAAAATAAATATTAAAAATTCTCTCTCTCTCTCTCTCTCCTCTCTCACTCTCTCACTCTCTCTTTAAAAAAAAAAATCATGTTCTTTCTGAAAGATGATTTGGGCAGGGACATTGAGGTTCAGAGAAATGAGAGAATTATAACCAGTGTGAAGTCAGGCAACCTGGGAGGGTTTCCTTGGGCAGATGAGATTGAAGCAGCAACAAGAAGGCTGAGCTGAGTCCCAGGAGAGTCAAGGTAACCCCTGACAGGGAAGCCATGGAAATGGAGTTGGGGGTTTGGGGTCTCACGTTGTGGTTCTGTATCTTTCTAGGCCGAGCAGCGCCTCCTAGTGGTCGGTACTCACATGTGGCGGCAGTGCTTGGCGGCAGTGTCCTGTTGGTGGCTGGGGGGTACAGTGGCCGGCCTCGTGGGGATTTGATGGCCTACAAAGTGCCCCCCTTCGTGTTCCAGGCACCTGCCCTGGATGTGAGCACTGGGGTGATAGGAGAGAGGGTGGCTGGGTGAGGAGGTAGCATGGTTCCCATGGGTGAGGGAAAAAGTGTGGAGGGTACCTCTGGGGGTGGGGGGCTCCCTAGAACCTTGAGAGGAGGGAAAGAATCCCTGGGGTTGAGGGAAGAGGAGCTAGAGGGTCCCTGAGCTGGGGGAGGAATGAAGGGTCCTTGTGGTGTTGAGCAATTAGGGTCCCTGGGATGATCACAGTGAGCGAGGGGTTGGGAGGCAAGCCCCAGCTCTGAGCAGCTTCCTCCTCTGTCTCCACCCCTTCCCTACAGTACCACCTGGACTATTGTTCCATGTACACAGACCACAGCGTCTGCTCCCGAGACCCTGAATGCAGTTGGTGTCAGGGAGCCTGCCAAGCTGCACCCCCTCCTGGGACACCCTCAGGGCCTGTGAGTGACTGCCCTAACCCTTCTGTCCCCTATCAGAGAGCCATGCCCTCAGCTTCCCTCTGCCTAAACAAGTGGTCAGGGACCTTCCCCTGACTGGAAGACTTATTTTCACACCCAAGATCCTAGTTCCTGCCTACCTGCTAATCCCTGAACTTTTGTCTCCCCACCAACCTGATCCTTTGAGTCTTTGACCCTGTCCTGGGCTCCCCAGTACCTGTCTTTGATCACCACATTCCAACCCTGCTTTCAATTCCCCATTCTCCAATTTCCTGGCTCCTTATACCCAGGACCCTTGTATCGATAGCCCTTCCCTATTCCCTTGAGCTCCAGTGGACACTGAACCCTGTATCGATAGCCCTTCCCTATTCCCTTGAGCTCCAGTGGACACTGAACCCTGTCCCGTCCTGTCCTTGCAGTGTCCAGCTGCTAGCTGCTTGGGTCTGGGCCGCCTGCTGGGTGACTGCCAGGCATGCCTGGCCTTTAGTAGTCCCACAACCCCTCCCCGGTGGCCTGGTGCCCTGGGCTGGTGTGTGCACAATGAGAGCTGCCTCCCTCGACCTGGTGAGTGTCTAGGGCAGTGGGGGGGGGAGGGGTGGCAGAGCACCCTATACTGATCCCCCAACTCCACATACCCTTGTCCTCTCAGAGCAGGCCCACTGCCGAGGGGAGCAGATCTCAGGCACTGTGGGCTGGTGGGGGCCAGCACCTGTCTTCGTCACATCTCTAGAGGCCTGTGTCACCCAGAGCTTCCTGCCTGGCCTGCACCTGCTCACCTTCCAGCAGCCACCCAATGCCTCCCAGCCTGACAAGGTGGGCAAACAGCTAGGTGCTCCAGGATTGTTGATATTCCAGGGCCTAGGGTTTATTTTTTTCAAGTGGATATTGGTGGTGGTGGTGGTGGTGGTGTGTGTGTGTGTGTGTGTGTGTGTGTGTGTGTGTGTATGTATGTGTGTATTGGTGGTGCTAGGAATGGAACCCAAGGCCTTGCACTTAGCTGAATGTGCACTTCACCTCTGAGTTACATCCCCTGCTGTAAATGGAGCTGTATCACCCTAAAAGTCTTTTCATTCAAAGGTCTGATTTACCTTATGAACTTAAAAAGAATATATATAGGTAGGTAGGGTGGGGCATGCCTGCAATCTCAGCTACTTGAGAGGGTGAGCA